AGAGAGAGAGAGAGAGAGCAAAATATAAATGAAATGTAGAGGTAAAAGATTCCATAGGCCCGCCCATTGGGTCTCAAACCAAGGATTGAACTCATGCAAATTTGTTGAACCCAAAATTTTTTTAGTCATGTTTTATAACACTGAATATAAAACTGACTTGGATGTCATTAACTAGACCATTTTAAAATCCCCTCCCTTCCAAGATAGAATCTGGACTGCCAAATTTGATGAATGTCAAATCTTAGGAATTTTGAGCTAATATATCTTGAAATTGGCCTTTGGATGAAGGAAAGATGATTTGGAAAAAATTTGGGTCAAATTGCTCCTCTAACTGGATGTTTGGATGTGGACACAGGTCCACAAAATAGGCACACTGAATTAGATGGGTCATATAGTTAACCTTTTTTTTTTTCTTTTTCTCAAGACATCTTTGATACCTCATAAGATCAATTTTAGACTACAAAGTTGAATTAGAGCTTGAGATTCCCCATAGCTTTCAGGAAAACATTAATTTTAGGCTTCAACTTTTTATAACTGACATGGGTGACATCCATCAAAATTGGTGTTCCACATCTAGTATTGGATAGGATTGTAATTTGTGGCTTTCTCAACTCCAAATAAGAGAAATCTACAAAATATCCCTTTAAATTTATCTTTTTAAAAATATCTCCCTGAAATTTGAATATTATATTTATTTGTTTTTATGTTTTTTTCAAACTGCATTTACTTCAGATATTCAAAATATGGAGTTGTCTCTACAAATTCTTGGCCTCCTTGCTAGATACAGAGAAAATTTCAGATTTATACATATTTATACGATTTGAAATATAGCGAAATTTGAATTTTTGAATTTTGAAGTTCGCTCTAGCTTCCAAAGGATTTTTATAATCCAAAGTTTTGTGAACTTCAAATTTTTAAAATCCTAAGTATTTTTAAGCCTCATAACCACCTACTAAGTGGTCCAAGTGCTTTATTGTAAACAAGGTTCAAAAACACAGATCGTTGACCTGGATCGCCCATATGAAAAGTCGGTCTCGATCATTAGTTCGGACCGCATGAACCAGCCGATAATTTTTTTAAAAAAATACAAGGTGGTACTGGTTCTCTAATAGAACCGGGTGGTTCTCTTTTAGATAACCAGCTAGAACCGGCCGTTCCCAATACTTTAGCCGGGCTGGCCCCATTAGTTTGCAATTTGTACAGGCTAGTTCTGTTGCGGTTCGCCATTTTTTCAAACCTTTGATTTTAAGCATCAAACTTCGGACTTTTAAGAACCAAACTAGGGGAAACGTTATCATTTCAAAGAAGAAAAAACAAAAATATATGAACATAATAATGTAAAAAAATTAGGGATTTCTTAAATAAGACATACGTGTAATTTTCTCTGAAAATAATGATCTTGAATGTTGCAAACATTGATTTCTGTTATTTTTTGAGGTGTTACAATTAAACTTAATTTTATAAATATTTGGAAACTTATCTAGTGGATTAATTATTAGGGAACCCGTATGTCCCCTCCTTCAAACATAAATTATATATTTCTCCCAATTGCGTTTTTTTAAATCATTGCCGAATAAAACCATATTGGAAAAAGAGAGGAGAGAGGGGGCCCCACTGTGTAGGACTCATTTGCCTCTATGGTTAGCGTGCCCGCCAGCTCAGCTGCACTCAGCCATGGAGCCCATCACCAGTTCACACGACCCCACACACTGCAAACAGACAGCTGGTGCCGCATGCCACGTAATCAACCGAAGTGGGACCCACGATGATGCGTTGAGGAAGAGGGCTGGGCCCACACGCGCGGCCCGAGCTCAACTGCCATGTGGCCAAGCTCGTGAGATGGGATGCTTGCTTTTAGAGAGAGAAAGTGGTCGCGAGTGCCGTCTTTTCAACATGTTCCTACTTCCATGTTAGAGAGAGAAATGCGACGATAAACTTAGGAGAGAGAGGGGGGGTGCAAGAGAGAAAAATGTGAAAGAATTTTAGAGAGAGGAATATAGGGTTTGGATAGAGAGAGATGAAAGAAATTTAGAGAGAGAAATATAGGATTTGAATAGAAAGAGATGAAAGAATTCTAGATGAATAGAGAGAGGTGAAAGACTTCTAGAGAGAGAAATATAGGGTTTGAATAAAGAGAGGTGAAAGAATTTTAGAGAGAGAGAGAGAGGAGAGGTGAGAGCTCTGAAATTGGTAAAAGGCATTTATGGGTACAGAGATGTGCACGAATGCTCGAACACTTTTGTTTTCACGCATAACTCATGAGAGAGAAATGTAAAGTGATGGGCAGAGGGAGGAGTGAAATTAAAAATTTTAAATCATGCATGTAGAGAGAGAGGCGCATGAACACAGCAGTTTTCACCTGCGAGAGAATACTGATGTAAGGTGAACGAGAGAGAGAGAGAGAGGAAGGTGTGCACTAAATACGAGTTTTCACCTATCTAAGAGATGGGAACTTAGTTTTAATATATAAAAAGCATTGATTCGGATTGGAAATCACTCGTTTAGATTGAATCCGGTATGTGGATGATTCAAGTCCCGAATCTGACTCGAAGTTAGGGGTGGCAATAGGTTGGATTCGGTTGAACTTGGATCCAAACTCGAATAGCATTTAGGAGGTTTTGGACCTGGATCCAACCTGTCGAGTCCAAAAGTTGAACCCATATCCATACCTGTCGAGTCCCGGTTCTATCTCGATAGGTCATGGGTCTAATCAGGTTCATTGCCACCCCCTATGAGGTTTTTTTTTTTTTAACCCTTTTCTTACCATCATATATCCATATTATTGCCAACAAGGTCACAATCACCCGCCATTAAATTTCATGCCGTTTGTAGTTTAATAGCCAAAGATGACTACGGGTTCTTATTGTATATGATCCTTAATACACCCAAATGAATATAGTTTGAAATATTTTATCTCCTACAATTTACGGGTATGGGTCGGGTCCAACCAGACCTGGACCCGAATAGTATTTGGGTCTAAGTTTTGGACACAGACCCTACCTGCTAGGTCCAAATGTTGGACCATATCCGGACCCATTGCCACCCCTATTGAAAGTGCCAGATAACTTTTTAAAATGTGTATAATGAGACTATTTATTTTTAATACAAAGATGTTGCAATCATCATTGACCATTAAATTTGAAATTGGGTAAGATGTGTTACTATTTAAGCACAAAGTCCGTTACAAATTCTCTCGAATGTTATGACCCACCTGAATTCATTGAATTTCACATCCAATAACTAAAAGTGATCGTGACCTCATTGCCAAAAATAAATAGTCTCGTAGTATAGAACATGACTTTTAGTTATTTTTATCAATTTCTCACCAGTTCAATTATGTTGATCATGGTCGTTGATTCAGAACAACTCAATAGAACAATCTGGTTTCAAAACATATGCAGGCACAAATTCAATCCATTTACAATGTTTTTAGTTTTTACTTATGTTTTAGAACCCAGATTGGTGGGGCAGATCATTCACTCAGTATTAATGTCGGGTCGTTTGATCAATGATCAAAATCGGGAGTAGATCAGACCAAATCTATTTTGTGGGG